AGTCAGTACAGTACAATAGTATATATAGTATATTCATTCTGTTCAATAGTATATACAGTCTGTTCTATAGTATATACAGTCAGTACAATAGTTTATATAGTATATACAGTCAGTACAATAGTATATACAGTCAGTACAATAGTATATACAGTCAGTACAATAGTATATATAGTATATACAGTCAGTACAATAGTATATACAGTCAGTACAATAGTATATACAGTCAGTACAATAGTATATACAGTCAGTACAATAGTATATACAGTCAGTACAATAGTATATATAGTATATACAGTCAGTACAATAGTATATATAGTATATACAGTCAGTACAATAGTATATACAGTCAGTACAATAGTATATACAGTCAGTACAATAGTATATATAGTATATACAGTCAGTACAATAGTATATACAGTCAGTACAATAGTATATACAGTCAGTACAATAGTATATATAGTATATACAGTCAGTACAATAGTATATATAGTACAATAGTATATATATATACAGTCAGTACAATAGTATATATAGTCAGTACAATAGTATATATACAGTCAGTACAATAGTATATATAGTATATACAGTACAATAGTACATATAGTATATACAGTCAATAGTATATATAGTATATACAGTCAGTACAATAGTATATATAGTATATATAGTATAAGTACAGTCAGTACAATAGTATATATATAGTATATACAGTCAGTATATAGTATATACAGTCAGTACATATAGTATATACAGTATATATACAATAGTATATACAGTCAGTACATATAGTATATACAGTCAGTACATATAGTATACAATAGTATATATATAGTACAATAGTATATACGGTCAGTACAATAGTATATACGGTCCATACAATAGTATATACAGTCAGTACAATAGTATATACAGTCAATATATATAGTCAGTGCAATAGTATATACAGTCAGTACAATAGTATATACATATACAGTATATACAGTCAGTATATAGTATATACAGTCAGTACATATAGTATATACAGTCAGTACATATAGTATATATATACAATAGTATATATAGTCATATACAATAGTATATATAGTATATACAGTCAGTACAATAGTATATATAGTATATACAGTCAGTACAATAGTATATACAGTCAGTACAATAGTATATACAGTCAGTATATACAGTCAGTACAATAGTATATACAGTCAGTACAATAGTATATATAGTATATACAGTCAGTACAATAGTATATACAGTCAGTACAATAGTATATATAGTATATACAGTCAGTACAATAGTATATATAGTATATACAGTCAGTCAGTACAATAGTATATATAGTATATACAGTCAGTACAGTCAGTACATATAGTATATACAGTCAGTACATATAGTATATATCATATAGTATATACAGTCAGTACAATAGTATATAGTATACAATAGTATATACAGTACAATAGTATATACATATAGTATATACAGTCAGTACATATAGTATATATAGTATATACAGTCAGTACAATAGTATATACAATAGTATATATAGTATATCAGTATATATAGTATATACAGTCAGTACAATAGTATATATAGTCAGTATATATAGTATATACAGTCAGTACAATAGTATATACAGTCAGTATAATAGTACATATAGTATATATAGTAGTACATATAGTATATACAGTCAGTACAATAGTATATATAGTATATACAGTCAGTACAATAGTACAATAGTATATATATACAGTCAGTACATATAGTATATACAGTCAGTACATATAGTATATATAGTATATATATACAATAGTATATATAGTATATACAGTACAATAGTATATATAGTATATACAGTCAGTACAATAGTATATACATAGTACATATAGTATATATATACAGTAGTACAATAGTATATAGTCAGTATAGTATATACAGTCAGTACAATAGTATATATAGTATATACAGTCAGTACAATAGTATATATATATATATACAGTCAGTACAATAGTATATATACAGTACATATATATAGTATATAGTCATATAGTATATACAGTAGTATATAGTATATACAGTCAGTACAATAGTATATACAGTAGTACAATAGTATATATATACAATAGTATATATAGTATATACAGTCAGTACAATAGTATATACAGTCAGTACAATAGTATATATAGTATATACAGTCAGTACAATAGTATATACAGTCAGTACAATAGTATATACAGTCAGTACAACAGCCAGTACAATAGTATATACAGTCAGTAGATACAGTCAGTACAATAGTATATACAGTCAGTACAATAGTATATACAGTCAGTACAATAGTATATACAGTCAGTAGATACAGTCAGTACAATAGTATATACAGTCAGTACAATAGTATATACAGTCAGTACAATAGTATAAACAGTCAGTACAACAGTCAGTACAATAGTATATACAGTCAGTACAATAGTATATACAGTCAGTAGATACAGTCAGTACAATAGTATATACAGTATATATAGTATATACAATAGTATATATAGTATATACAGTCAGTACAATAGTATATAGTCAGTACAATAGTATATATAGTATATATAGTATATACAGTCAGTATATATATATATAGTAGTACAATAGTATATACATAGTACAATAGTATATATAGTATATACAGTCAGTACAATAGTATATATATATACAGTCAGTACAATAGTATATATAGTACAATAGTATATATATATACAATAGTACATATATATACAGTACAATAGTATATACAGTCAGTACAATAGTATATATAGTATATACAGTACAATAGTATATATAGTACATATAGTCAGTATATAGTATATACAGTCAGTACAATAGTATATATAGTATATACATTCCGACCAATAGTATATACAGTCAGTACAATAGTATATACAGTCAGTACAATAGTATATACAGTCAGTACAATAGTATATACAGTCAGTACAACAGTATATACAGTCAGTAGATACAGTCAGTACAATAGTATATACAGTCAGTACAATAGTATATACAGTCAGTACAATAGTATATACAGTCAGTACAATAGTATATACTGTCAGTACAATAGTATATATAGTACAATAGTATATACAGTCATATACAATAGTACATATAGTATATATATACAGTATATACAGTACAATAGTATATATAGTATATACAGTCAGTACAATAGTATATATAGTATATACAGTCAGTACAATAGTATATATAGTAGTACATATAGTATATATCAGTATATAGTCAATAGTATATATAGTATATACAGTCAGTATATATATACAGTCAGTACAATAGTATATATAGTCAGTACAATAGTATATAGTCAGTACAATAGTATATAGTATATACAGTAGTACAATAGTATATATAGTATATACATAGTACATATAGTATATACAGTCAGTACAATAGTATATATAGTACAATAGTATATATATACAGTACAATAGTATATATAGTATATACACAGTACAATAGTATATAGTCATACAATATAGTATATACATCAGTACAATAGTATATACAGTATATAGTATATACAGTCAGTACAATAGTATATATATACAGTCAGTACATATAGTATATACAGTCAGTACAATAGTATATACAGTCAGTACAATAGTATATATAGTATATAGTATATAGTATATACAGTCAGTACAATAGTATATATAGTATATACATATAGTATATAGTCAGTACAATAGTATATACAGTCAGTACAATAGTATATACATGGTCCTGCTATACACACTTAAGCCTGTTCCTGCTACACACTTTAGTGTGTCCTGCTACACACTTAAGCCTGTTCCTGCTACACACTTTAGTATGTCCTGTTACACACTTAAGCATGTTCCAGCTACACACTTAAGCATGTTCCAGCTACACACTTAAGCATGTTCCAGCTACACACTAAGCATGTTCCAGCTACACACTTAAGCATGATCCAGCTACACACTAAGCATGTTCCAGCTACACACTAAGCATGTTCCAGCTACACACTAAGCATGTTCCAGCTACACACTTAAGCATGTTCCAGCTACACACTAAGCATGTTCCAGCTACACACTAAGCATGTTCCAGCTACACACTTAAGCATGATCCAGCTACACACTAAGCATGTTCCAGCTACACACTTAAGCATGATCCAGCTACACACTAAGCATGTTCCTGCGACACACTTTAGTATGTCCTGTTACACAATTAAGCCTGTTCCTGCTACACACTTAAGCATGATCCAGCTACACATTTAAGCATGATCCTGCTACACACTAAGCATGTTCCTGCTACACACTTAAGCATGTTCCAGCTACACACTTAAGCATGTTCCAGCTACACACTTAAGCCTGTTCCTGCTACACACTTAAGCATGTTCCAGCTACACACTTAAGCATGTTCCAGCTACACACTTAAGCCTGTTCCTGCTACACACTTAAGCATGATCTTTCTACACACTTAAGTATGTTCCAGCTACACACTTAAGCATGTTCCAGCTACACACTTAAGCCTGTTCCTGCTACACACTTTAGTATGTCCTGCTACACACTTAAGCATGTTCCAGCTACACACTTAAGCCTGTTCCAGCTACACACTTAAGCATGTTCCAGCTACACACTTAAGCATGTTCCAGCTACACACTTAAGCCTGTTCCAGCTACACACTAAGCATGATCCAGCTACACACTAAGCATGTTCCAGCTACACACTTAAGCCTGTTCCTGCTACACACTTAAGCATGATCCAGCTACACACTAAGCATGATCCAGCTACACACTTAAGCATGTTCCAGCTACACACTTAAGCCTGTTCCAGCTACACACTTAAGCATGTTCCAGCTACACACTTAAGCATGTTCCAGCTACACACTTAAGCATGTTCCAGCTACACACTTAAGCATGTTCCAGCTACACACTTAAGCATGTTCCAGCTACACACTTAAGCCTGTTCCAGCTACACACTTAAGCTTGCTACACACTTAAGCATGTTCCAGCTACACACTTAAGCATGTTCCAGCTACACACTTAAGCATGTTCCAGCTACACACTTAAGCCTGTTCCTGCTACACACTTAAGCATGTTCTTGCTACACACTTAAGCATGTTCCAGCTACACACTTAAGCATGTTCCAGCTACACACTTAAGCATGTTCCAGCTACACACTAAGCATGATCCAGCTACACACTTAGCATGTCCCAGCTACACACTTTCTACACACTTTAGCCTGTTCGAGCTGACTTTAACAAATTCCATCCATACGATTTCATCATATTGTTCAATCGTTGCCGTGTACTTTCTTATCTATTTCTGATTCATTTGATCTCTCTATCTTGCCTTTCTTTTCTATATATTTATCTACACTGGCTACTGCATGCAGTCTTCTTTTATTTGTCACTTCTGTCTGGTAGAATTTCTTTCTCTCTGTTGATTCTGGCGAAGCGGGTGGTACAAGGCCATCAGATATTTTGTAGTAAACAGTTGTGGAATCTGTATCCATAATGGCCATGGTTATACTGAAATATATACCAATAACATCTTCACTAAGATTCTGTGGATACTATTTTATATCAATACATGTTAGAAATTATGAAACAAATTCATCCATGTAGATGAAATAAAATACAACACAATATTTTCTTTAATATCAAACTATATTTTTACAACTCAAGAAAAGGTAACATGCTTTTAACATGTACTAGGGTACACCCAAAAAGTCACGAATTCCGACATGTTGATTATCAATAGAGCAATTCACCAAGAGAAACAGCCATTGGGACAGCTAATCATCCCCATGGTAACATGATGGATGTCATTCATTAAACCTCACACTTAAATCATACTTCTCTCTTTTTAAATAAATACATTCACATTGCTATGCAAATGTAATACATAATTCTGAATTTGTACAATTTTTTTGACTCAATTTAAGTGCTCACCCTGATGTGTGGTATTCCTCCAGACTGACACTGTGGAGGTAGTTCTGGAGATCCCCTGGGGTCAAGGAACATCCGCTGGGTACAGGGAGCACTAACTCTCTAGGGGTGTGTCTTGCTGCATGTCCAGATATAAATACAAGGTCAAGGTCACAACAAGGATGAAGTTCAAGGTTCCACCACTGTTTATCTACAAAAATGATACTATAATAGGGGGAATTGTCCACACACACATGCTCTAGCCACATACAATTCACATGTGTATAGTAGGTTCAAAGAGAGTGACCAAGTCAGCACTACCGTTAAATCCCAAATCATGATTGTATAGCCTTTTTTTCTCAGAATGGGAATCACCAGCCATCACAACAGTCCCCTCTGGACCTCTCTTTCAAGGTTACAGGCCTTTATAAATCCAGATTTTACCACTAGGATGTTGTGGAAGTACAGACTGATCCAATAAATCAACAAGATGCTCCAATATATATATGTAACAGAGGTCATTATTTATTTCAATGCCTCTGCTAGGAATCGAACCCGGGACCCCTGGCTTACTAGTCTGATGCTCAATCAATTGAGCTAAAGAGAAGTTCTCTCTAGCCGAGTGGTATATTGCAGCTAGTATTTTACCAGGGCTACATATACAAACAACTTAATTAACAAGACAGAATAAATACATAACAAATGTAATTTAAAATCACAACAACAGTGCTGACTATTGACACCTAACACTAACCAAGTCAGCTACATTATCCCAACATAAGCAAACCTAAACCCTTCCTACACTGTATGTATGACACTGACCTAATTTTAGCCTTAACTTAGCTCTGACTAGGCACACTGCAGAAGAGGACCAGTCATTGAGAGTGGGGAAGAGGATGGGATCCTACTCTAAATCATTCTAGATATGTCTATAATATAATGGAAGTCAATCTAAATTTCATTACAAATAGTCACTAATGCTAACCCAGACCTAACTTTTGGGCCGGTGTTATCATTCCAGCTCTTTCTAAAACAACTGCAGAGAGATCTTTATTGTGTTGGACATTCCCACAACAGTCTAGAGCCATTAGCTTATGTTAGTGTTGTACATGTATGTTGTGTAAAAAACTAGATGTGGCTGTGCTAGTTTTACACATATTTCAGATCATCAGAAGCAGAGCTCTACTGTGTTCCTTATAGTTCCTTAGATATGACCCAGAATCTCCGTTTTGTTACCCTTACCCATTCAATATTGTGCTTGTGTATGATGTGAAATCAAAACCAAACTTCAGGTACTCACTTATGTTTCCTGTCTAGTAAGGTACAACTAACTCGTTAACACCCTACACATGTGACACAACCTTGTAAACAGACAGAAACTGGTAAGTAGCAGCTAATCTACAGGAGGCATACACTGAAGAAATGCTCCATTCTCCAAAAACATGTGACAGAGACACTGTATAAAACAACAAGAACCTGCTACAGTTGTATATAAATGATAACAATATGAGAAGTACCTGTTCTCTCACAATAAAACTAGCAATTAAGTTAATGTGTTAACTTTGTGGCCTGTGTCACTGTCCGAATCATTCTGACGTTCTATCAATTTTTTTTATAAATTTGTCTTGATCTAGAGTCAATGAACTGCACGACTAATATAAAAAAAGGTATATTGAACATCAGAATAATTCAGACTACCTATGTCACTGTTTTGTTGGTAAATGTTGTATGGTTATACGTGTACAGTTGATGCTCTTTTTCACAAACTTTATAGCGGAGAGACTGACTCACCTTCACATAGATCCATGTAAACCAAGAAAGCAGCTTTCATCTGATCCTCATTTAGGAGCTGGAACTTTTCTATTTCCCTGTACTGTTTAGAAATGGAAAACCAGTATTAATGACTTCCGAAAAACTACATTTCAAGAAAAACTGGAAACGACTATATCAAAACTTGAATAAAATACGAAGGTAACTCGGTTACTAGATCTCTGCTCACTAGGCCTATATATAAGTTGTGGAGGATAAATCACTTTATCATAGCTATATGTACCGACAGAGAGTGTATGACTACAGTATCTGCAACATGTCGAGCTACGTGGTAAATCTAACACGATTTTTTTAATTTTTCATCGTGTCCAGCTACCTGTATATAGGTTAAATTATTAATGCTAACCTTAGGGTGTTGGTACATGGACGATCTTTCATCTTTCTCTTCTTGAAGCATGGCTCTCCGATCTTAATATAACTTAGGTGATTCCCATAACAAAGTCCCGTGAAATCTCGCGATAATACTTTAATCCAATCAAACACACCATTCTAAAATTAGGAACAATAACATGTTGTCAGAGTCTGTAAATAGTAGTTGTTCGTCGTTACCCTACGGTTGTGCAATGTCAGCTATATAAAAAGATCAGCAATGATAAATCCAGTGCCATTTGTTGCCTGCCTCGCCAGTTGGTACTGCCAAGCATTAGTTAAGTTTCATGGCGTCTATTTTACTAATGGCAACGCCGACCGAAAAAGTTTCGTTTTCTGACTCCGTAACGACAGGAGACGGCAAAATTTGCCCATCGCCAATGTCCACCTTCGGAAGCGATGTCATGGACAACTTGTATTTGCATGCGTCAAACGCTGGTGTTTTTGTAAGAACAGACTACTCTGAGTTAGCATCCAAGGCTACAAATAATCTGCAACGATTAGAAGGTAAATATAAGAAGAGAATATGTGCATATGCTTAATACGCATGACCTACTTTCGCTTTGTTTTGTTTCGTTTTTTATTGTCATGCGGTAAATCATGTTAGAATACATTTAATTGGACTTGAAATAGTATTCAATCAGCGTTATATGTGAATAGAATAGTCGATAAAACGCAATGATCATATATCCTATCAACTTATTTCGAGGTGATTTTGAGAAAGATACACGTAAAGAGTGCATACTTATCAAATATATGTATATCTCTGCATGGTTCTGTAAAGATTCGCCTTACAAATTTGTCTGAATAGTTGAAACTCTCTGTCATGGTAGGAAGGTGGCTAAAGCTCTACAGACTACTTTGAGTCAATAAATCGTGTATGATAGAGAATACTGAACACACAGTGTTGTGTTATCAAAAGCAGTCATGATAACAAATGTTTTATACCTCATTCTAACAGAACTGACAACAGACAAGATGATAAACAACACGGACGATAATCTTGATGAAGATGAAGATACTGATGAAGTAATCAATGAGATTGTAACTATTGCTGTTTTTGCAACCAACATGAGGAAAAATGACATTCAGTGTGAAAAAGATAAATATCATATTAAAATTAAAAGAGAAGTGAACATTAAAAAACACAAAAAGAAAAATGTGAAGAAACAGAAGAGGAAGAATGTTGCAGAAGATTTTGGCTTTTTAAATGTATCCCTTTTCCCTCGGCCATGTCATGTTCCAGAAGATAATGATGAAAGTGCCTTGGAACGGTTTTATGCAGTAGAACAAAGTCTCAATGATTTTGAAGATTTAGTTGCACCCTATGAAAAAGAATTAGATATTGAAGGAAGGCACACAAAAATGGATAAACACTTGCGTAGTGATAAAGACAGGAAAAAAACAAAAGCTCACATACAAGTAAAGGACAAATATTGTAAAAGTGTAAAAAACAACGGGGGACGTAAAAAGTTGTTTGTTCATCACAGAGTCTATAAACTCATGGAGCTCGAGATACAAAGACTTTCTTACATGCCAAGTCCAAAGAGGGCAACACGTGATTTACAGCGGGAAGAAATGAAGGCGATTAAGCACACTCCAGTTCGTCCAGCATACAATCCACATTTCAGGCCTGCCCCTCGAGGAGGCATCCAAAATTTGGCTTATGCCATTGACAACAACAATGCTGCACAGGACCTTGACAGTGCACTTGTGAATGTTCTGATAACACTTCAGCACAGGGACCTGACACCCGAGGACTATGAAACACTTCTAAGACTGGATGAGAATGTGGCACCAAAAACATTACAGAAAGATGTTTTAGAATCGTTTAGGACTGACATTGTAAATGAGAGTGGGGTCCATGAAACATGTTCAATATGTATGGACCAATATACAATAGGACAATCTAGGAAGTTTCTACCCTGTAATCATGTTTTTCACACAAACTGTATTGATATGTGGTTGGAGAATTCATCTCTGAATTGTCCAATTGATAATTTACCAGTGTCTAACAGCTGACAGGGAACGTGTGAATATCCCAACTAATTATCACTTGAACATACAGTTTAGTCTTATGAACATTATAATTGCGGGAGTGTTTGTAAGGCTGTATGACTACTACAGAAATTATGACGTGAAATGTCACATGCCGTCTATAATTGCAGTTGTATGACTACTTGTAAGAAGTTGTTTGACTAATATTAAAGCATGTTTTGCCTTGATATGGCATTTATAGCTGTTATAAATGACAGATTGATCACTGATTATATTTTAATTGCCAACACTTTCTTGCTGATTTATGAACATTCTGATTTTATCTAAACTCAGTTGTTCATTACTGACAGTATAATGCTTTGTAGGGAATATTTTGATGGCGTTCCGTCGGTTTCTATGGTAACAATTGAGGTTTAATGATGCTCATGCAAGAAACAGGATTTGATGTCGGACAACTTCACTTCTGTCATACAGGTGTATGTAAGGAATTTACTTTCCAAATTTAATATTTTACCTTTACTGAATATGCTACAATTTACATATATTTCAGATTTATTTACATATTTTTTTTATAAAATATTTATTCTACAACTTGTATTGAAACAGTGCAGTTGAACGGTTTCTTTACATGACAATGTTTCAATAAAAAGACAAAACAAAATACATCAGTTTTATTTCTTATGAAGTTTTAAGTGTTTGTCAAAAACAATATGAAAACCTCCAATCTGTTGTCTGGGTGCCCTAGGGACATAAGATATCCCACATCTTTTGGTGGTGACCTACATGTAGCTACATTGTGTAGTTGTGAAACAAATAGGTAACACATACTGCTCTGCTGTTGTTACCTGCATGCATAGAATTTCAAACAGATCTACTAGTACTTCTCAAGCAATAGTGATAAATAACACCACCATGGCCACCCAACTTAGATATCAAGGATAATATTTGTGAAATTTGAGAAAGATCCATACAACAAACTTTCTTGAACAAAATCTAAGATGGCCACTTCCAGTTGTCAGCCATTTCGATTTTTTTATCTGAACCCAAATCTAAAGGCCACAACAAGGGACCACCAAGTGGAAACTACAGTATGGACAGACCAGGGATGAAGGGTGATTTGAATAACTCACTATCTGATGATTATGAAAGGAAAAACCTGTTAGACTGGACTTTGGCCAAGAGTCCAGAAGTTCTTGTGGCACAAGGCATTGTCATAGAGTTTGTGGACTTCCCTGCTAGATCTTAAGTATACAAAACAAAAAGAAAAGTAGTAGGGGCTGGAACTCTCTGTTGTTGTCACATTCAAAGGAGTTTTTACTGCTAACTACCAAACAAATGAATATAAATTTTTAAATCCATTGATTACATTGTACATATAAGGAAAATATGTAAATAGAACAACATTACTTTAAAGTTGAATTTATTGATTTTAAACATACACATGACTTAAACCCTATAAAGTAAACATATAATGGTGTGGATTTTTGTTAGTATGTATAAGTCAAATAAGAAAAAGAGCAATATTTCCAAGATATGTCAGCACACCACATTTCCATAAAATATTGTTTGGGTGACATATATAATTAGTAGATGAAATCAGAATTATGAATTTCTCTTTTTGTTTTATCATTTATGAAAGCTGTCTACAATAATATTACCTCTTATTAGCAAAAGTGGATAAAGGACCACAGCTTGATATAGTTTAATTGGCATGAACAATTGTGTGAAGACAGTGCCACCTGGTGTAACTATACTTGCATACACAGGATTTTGAAAATATGAAAGCATGTATGTTCACATTTTTGTTACTTACACACTTAGAATACACATATAATAGGACCAATAAGATACCTAGAAACTAAGTAACATAACTGTGGGTTTATTGATACTGGTAGTACGTCGTCTCGGGGTTAGTAAGTACATTTTTTATGTCTCTATATGAATCTGGTTGTCAAGCAAACCCAGTCCCCATAACGACAAAGATAGTACCGTAAATATTCGCGTATAGTGCGCACTCGCGTATAGTGCGCAGGTACTTTTTGGAGATCAGATTTTAAAAAAAAAATCTTCAGAAAAATTAATTGACTGGTCACTGCGACGAAACATTTGATGTGGTCTGATCCATTAATAATTAGGAAATCACAATGAGCGTGACCCTAACACAGGTAATTACCTTAAGTAAACAAATTTACCCAGGTGACCTAACATTTCATCTCGGAGTTTCTAATTACATATTTTATATCTGAGAAATGAATCTGGTTGTCAAGCAAACCCAACATCTGTAAATAATGTACATAAATATAAGGAAGTTCATGTAAGTCACGTGGTTTATTTTAGAATCTGCTTAGAATGTACACGAGAGTGATCAACTCCTCAGACCACCTGGGTGATGGAGTTAAAATTTGATAAGAGATTCCATCAAAACAAACACCTGTTACAATACCACAGTCCTTCTCAAACACTTGTATTGTTGATGGCGGTAGGGATAGCCCAGTTAGTTCGGCAAACAACATATTCATTCAGTGAATATATATATATATAAACACAGTCTGCTTGCTCATTGTGAAATACCTTCTGTACAGTAGCAATACAGTATTACAGGTGACCTACAGTATATACACACAGATCTGCCATATATTTTACAATTGATATAGACCTGAACATAAATAACATTTTACATATGAAACAAACATTTTGAAGATCATGTCATACATATACTTTAGGTGAACATTCAAAATATACAAACAATGTATAACAACTAGAACACATAGAGAATTTCAACATTTTACTTTGTATCACTATTAAATTTTAGAATTAAAACTGTTTTGTACTAACACCAGCCACGTGGCACTAATCACAAATTAAAATGGTTTTGTTCTAACACCAGTGACAGGGTATACTAATAACAAATTTAAACTGTTTTGTACTAATACCAGTGATGGGGTACTAATAAATTAAAACAGTTTTGTACTAACACCAGCGATGTGGTACTAATCACAAATTGAAACGGTTTTGTACTAACACCAGTGACAGGGTATACTAATAACAAACACCAGTGATAATGACAAATAAATTATAATAATTTTTTCAAGGACTTGAAAGATGAAATATTTCATCATAAAATATAAACACAAAAAACCACAGGTAATCACTGAAACCTGATAAAATATCATTACTTATATAACAGCAACAAAAGACAGTAAAAAGTTCAAATTAGCATTTCCGATTCCATCTTCTCATCGAGTTTTGGATGGTACCATCATTAGCATTAACTTATCTCCCTTTTTAAAGTTTTGTTGTCCTTAGCATATGTGGTTTACAGACTCTGCCCCATCGACTTCATCAGTGTAACTGGAAACAATTCTTTGTAATAAAGTCTATTGGGGCGTTATAACACAGAGTTCTTGAGTAAGTTGTTCATTTTCTTTATATCTTATGGTCTTTTCCTTCCATTCGTCTGGAATAACATCCACACCATACTGTAACAGTGAGAACAAATATGAGAAACAGGCTCTTGTATCATTTACTGGTCAGGAGCTCTAAGTCATGCCACTTCCATAGTTTGAAAATGTGTGAGCTGTGAGAAAGCTTGTATGTAACCTCCTGCACTATAACTCATACCTTCCTAGTACAGGTACTTACCCAAGCTGTGAGACAGGCCCTATGTAATGAAAATATAATATACTAGAGCTATTTGTCATACCTATATACTTACTTAAAAAACAGGCCCATATGTAATCTATTGCAGCTCTAATTCATAATCTTACTACGGGTATATACTTACCTGAGCTGTGAGACAGGCCCCTATGTAATCTACTAGAGCTGTAAGTCATACCCTTACTTTATACTTACCTGAGCTGTGAGACATATGATATACTTACCTGAGCTGTGAGACAGGCCCATATGTAATCTACTAGAGCTGTAAGTCATACCCTTACTTTATACTTACCTGAGCTGTGAGACATATGATATACTTACCTGAGCTGTGAGACAGGCCCCTATGTAATCTACTAGAGCTGTAAGTCATACCCTTACTTTATAATTACCTGAGGTGTGAGACATATGATATACTTACTTGAGCTGTGAGACAGGCCCCTATGTGTTCTATTAGACCTGTAAGTCATACCCTTGCTATATACTTACCTGAGCTGTGAGACAGGCCCCAATGTAATCTACTAGAACTGTAAGTCATACCCTTACTATTTACTTACCTGATCAGTGAGACATATGATATACTTACTTGAGCGGCGAGACAGGCCCCTATGAAGCCAGCTCGTGAGCTGTTGCAGCCTCCATTACGAATGGTGGCTTTGACTGCTGCAGTATATTCAGTGTGGGAAACTACTCCATGTAAAGCCAGTTGGAAAGACCCAGGCATTACTGCAATAACCAAAGTGAAACAACTAGATAATCTAAGCTTAAAATGTCTACAAACTAAAACCATTAAAGTTGATACTTAGTATCTTGAAAGTTGTCTATGCCAGACGTAATCAGGACCTATTATTCATGATGGCACTAACCAGGACCTAGGTTATTCATAGTGGAACTACCATAATAAGGACATAGTTTATCCATACTGGCGTTACAATAGTCAGGGACTAGGTTATCTATACTGGACCTAAAGAGGGCCCACAACCCTATCTATGCTGAACCTTATCAGAACCTAGGTTATCCATACCGGAGCTACCATAACCAGGACCTAGGTTATCCATACTGGAGCTACCATAACCAGGACCTAGGTTATCCATACTGGAGCTACCATAACCAGGACCTAGGTTATCCATACTGGAGCTACAATAATTAGAACCTAGGTTATCCATACTGGAGCTACAATAATCAGGACCTAGGTTATCCATACTGGACCTAAAGAGAGCCCACAACCCTATCTATGCTGAACCTTATCAGAACCTAGGTTATCCATACTGGAGCTACCATAACTAGGACCTAGGTTATCCATACTGGAGCTACCATAACCAGGACCTAGGTTATCCATACTGGAGCTACCATAACCAGGACCTAGGTTATCCATACTGGAGCTACAATAATCAGGACCTAGGTTATCCATACTGGAGCTACCATAACCAGGACCTAGGTTATCCATACTGGAGCTACAATAATCAGGACCTAGGTTATCCATACTGGAGCTACCATAATCAGGACCTACAAACTACAAATCTATACTTAACCTAAAGAGGATCCACAACCCTATCTATGGTGGACCTAAAGAGGGCCCTCACCCCTATCTATGGTGGACCTAAAGAGGGCCCTCACCCCTATCTATGGTGGACCCACCTAAAGAGGACCCACACCCCTGTCTATGGTGGACCTAAAGAGGGCCCTTACCCCTATCTATGCTGGACCTAAAGAGGGCCCTCACCCCTATCTATGCTGGACCTAAAGAGGGCCCTCACCCCTATCTATGCTGGACCTTAAGAGGACCCACAACCCTATTTATGGTGGACCTAAAGAGGGCCCTCACCCCTATCTATGCTGGACCTAAATAGGGCCCTCACCTCTATCTATGGTGGACTTAAAGAGGACCCTCACCCTATTTATGGTGGACCTAAAGAGGACCCACAACCCTATCTATGGTGGACCTAAAGAGGACCCACACCCCTGTCTATGGTGGACCTAAAGAGGGCCCTTACCCCTATCTATGCTGGACCTAAAGAGGGCCCTCACCCCTATCTATTTAGGACTTAAAGAGGACCCTCACCGTATTTATGGTGGACCTAAAGAGGACCCACACCCCTGTCTATGGTGGACCTAAAGAGGGCCCTTACCCCTATCTATGCTGGACCTAAAGAGGGCCCTCACCCCTATCTATGGTGGACCTAAAGAGGACCCTCACCCCTATCTATGGTGAACCTAACGAGGGCCCTCACCCCTATCTATGCTGGACCTAAAGAGGACCCACAACCCTATTTATGGTGGACCTAAAGAGGGCCCCCACCCCTATCTATGCTGGACCTAAAGAGGGCCCTCACCCCTATCTATGGTGGACATAAAGATAACCCACACCCCTGTCTATGGTGGACCTAAAGAGGGCCCTTACCCCTATCTATGCAGGACCTAAAGAGGGCCCTCACCCCTATCTATGCTGGACCTAAAGAGGGCCCTCACCCCTATCTATGGTGGACCTAAAGAGGACCCACAACTCTATTTATGGTGGACCTAAAGAGGGCCCTCACCCCTATCTATGCTGGACCTAAATAGGGCCCTCACCTCTATCTATGGTGGACTTAAAGAGGACCCTCACCCTATTTATGGTGGACCTAAAGAGGACCCACACCCCTATCTATGCTGGACCTAAAGAGGGCCCTCACCCCTATCTATGCTGGACCTAAAGAGGGCCCTCACCCCTATCTATGGTGGACCTAAAGAGGACCCACAACTCTATTTATGGTGGACCTAAAGAGGGCCCTCACCCCTATCTATGGTGGACCTAAAGAGGGCCCTCACCCCTATCTATGCTGGACCTAAAGAGGACCCACAACTCTATCTATGCTGGACCTAAATAGGGCCCTCACCCCTATCTATGCTGGATCTAAAGAGGGCCCTCACCCCTATCTATGGTGGACCTAAAGAGGACCCACAACCTTATCTATGGTGGACCTAAAGAGGGCCCTCATCCCTATCTATGGTGGACCTAAAGAGGACCCACAACTCTATCTATGGTGGACCTAAAGAGGACCCACAACCCTATCTATGGTGGACCTAAAGAGGGCCCACACCCCTATCTATGGTGGACCTAAAGAGGGCCCTCACCCCTATCTATGGTGGACCTAAAGAGGACCCACACCCCTATCTATGGTGGACCTAAAGAGGACCCCCACCCCTATCTATGGTGGACCTAAAGAGGACCCCCACCCCTGTCTATGGTGGACCTAAAGAGGACCCCCACCCCTGTCTATGGTGGAAGAGGACCCCCAAAGAGGGCCCTAAAGAGGACCCCTATGCACCCCTATCTATGCTGGATCTATAGAGGGCCCTCACCCCTGTCTATGGTGGACCTAAAGAGGACCCCCACCCCTGTCTATGGTGGACCTAATCAGGACCTAAAATCTGTTGACAATAAATAATGTTAATTACATGTCACTTTTCCAGTAATACCTCAGTCTATCCGTAGCTGTTTTGCCATGTCACTGTGGCTGGTCTGCTTTCCTTGTAAAACCTCACGTAGCTTGCCTATCATTGCCCGGTCAAGTTCCTGGGGGTTGGCCCTATTTGGGTCATCCATCTGTTTGATCACAGCCTCTAGTACTCCCTCACTTGGGCCATTCAGAATGAAATGTTCAAGGATCCTGTATCACATCAAATAAACAGGATAATACTTTATTTCTGAAACCAAAACATATCTAGATTTTTTCTTTTGATTTTATTACACAACTACAACAGTAATACTCTCACCCCAACATGTAGATACAAAAAATTTATACCTCAACTTGTTTCAGTCCAGTTAACCTCACTGTATTATGTATGGCCTTGAATTAAAAAAATCAATTTCCCTTAACATGTATCATTATTTGTCATGCCTCATCTCCTTACTGTGTATCATAACGGTTATGGGCCTTTACAAACATACATATGTAAAGTGACCCAGTTACCAAATCAATCAACATTTTCACAAAAAATTACCGACATGAACATCTAAACATGGCCAAAAATATTTCTGTACAGTTTCACTAAAATTGGTTCCAAAGTTTAAGAGAAGTCTGGACAAGATCACTGGAATCATAGGTCTTATTTGGTTACCATGGCAACTGTTGACATTGGATATTTTGAATAACGGTACCATTGTAAATACCATTCTTCAAAACCTTTATATATTAATTTTCAGCAGGATCAGACAATACATTATGATGTTTCTCAATTTTGACCAATCAAAAGCCTTCGTTATGTTTCCACAGTAACATCCCCTACTATAGTAACATTACCTTGCTGCACACAGTGCCACTACTACGGTAAAGTCAGACTCCTGAGTGATACGGACAACCTCTTCAGCTATGTTTAACATCTTGGGATGACCAGCATACATAGCTACCACTGGGACAATACGAAGAACACAGTCTATCTGTTCATCTGTAGGTGACCCTGCCAAAACAATTAGAAAAACACATAAACCGGGTCAAATTTACTGATTAACTTCTAACAAAGGTATATAGAAACCATGTAGGTATGAAGAGAAGCTGAATAAGCATTTATCAAGCAGGAAACGTTCTTTACAGGTACATGTATTAACCACTTATATAGAACTGGTTTATAAACCTAGGATATTTACTGTCAATAAAAGCATGTTTAGAAAGTAATTTACCTGTTTCTTCTTTGCCTGCCTTATGATTAGCTAGGAACTCTTTTATGCTGAAGTGTCTCCAGGGCCCTTTGATAGGAAATGTCTTTTTCACAGCATCTATTGTAAAAGATTTATAAACCTCAAGATCTATGATATACATCTGACTCAATAGTTAACGAGATACATCAAACTCAACAGTTTACTGAATATATCTGACTCAACAGTTTACAGAATATGTGTGACTCAACAGTTTACAGAAAAAATCTGACTAAACAGGTAGCAAATTATGTTTTATCTATACTTGTATGTATAAAATTTGCATGGCAGACACATATTGTAGTATCATATATTTATGATTTACCTACCTGACTTGTCTTTATAGGCAGCATTGACTACATGTTCATAGTCAGACTCTGGTCCAAAGAATGTATACGTAGCATTCTTAAGTGACTGAATGTCCAATCCTACAAAAGACACAACATGTTGTAAACTTAGGCTTTAAAACACTTGTCACATATATTCAACCAAATAAAATGTTTCTTCCGGATGTTGAGAACAGGAAATCCTAGGAAATTCCTGGATGAATCCCCAGGAAATTCTATATAGGATAATCCAGAGAAAAACATTAGGAGTATTTAACAGCACATGTGAGCCATCAATACATCCAAAATTATGTTTAATGTGAAGTTTCATAGCAAAAATATTTCTGTCCCTCTACATTACATATCTTAAATCATTAGATACTAAGAAAAAATATTGTCAACTCCAGAAATCAATGAATAATACCCCAAATGATTGTATTTGTGTTCATAATTGTTCCTGCGAGTATCTATGTCAAATTCCCTTGTAGTTTGTAACACAATATATTCATGGCGACTGTTCCCGACATCAACACCCCTAAAACTAAAATTGTAATTCCTGATATTATGCGTTTTTTTCCCTGATTTTCTATGTAGTTGGTAGTGATTGATTGAATGAATGATTGATACTGTGAAAGCCGATCGCTTGATGCCGAGACCTGTACCTTTATTCTCCACTAATGATTTCAGAATTACATAGGCTTGGTCTCCATATCCACTCTGTCGGCCTGTTGGTATGCAGTAAAAAGGATTGGCAGAAGGCTCCCAGAATGTAATGTCTTCTGTTTCACCAATCAGATTATCCAGTTTATTTTTGTCATATATCCAGTGAAGTGGCTGAGCTGTTGATGAAAGATTTAGATTGTGACAAAACCCTACATTGTAACTATAAAACTTGATAATCTGAAGATCAAATGGGCATAAATGAATATTTCAAAACAGTTTCATTCATGTTATGATGACTTATCAGATCTACGTGACAGCATGAACAGCATTTGATTTTATCATATCTGGATGCTGGGACAAAAAGATTTTTGAATGGGATCAATATGGGCATACCATCAATCCATCACCCTTCGCTCATAATTCTAATCAAGTTTGAAATATCTCCATTGGAAATTAAACAAATTATGATCAAAAATCTATTTTTCCTATATAAGCTAAAGTAAAAAATTGTAACCACTCCCCACAGGGAAATGTGAGACCCTGGGGCCATGAAACTCACAATTTTGGTAAAGCACTTTAAGATACTTCCATCCACTAAGAGAATTTGATTCTACCATATCTAAGCATTGAGAAGAAGATTGTTGAAAGTTTAGTCAATTTGACCCTTTTGATCCTGCCCTTCATGCCTTTGTTGGATGGTTACCATATAATTCAGTATTATGGTTAATCTTAAGCCAGGGAAGGATTCTGCAAAATTTCATTAAAATCAGTTCTAGGGTTTCTAGGGTGAAGAAGTCAAAAATGCATAACTGTTAACCGATGCAGGACACACAACGCTGGAGGTGATCGCAACAGGTCACTCTGTTAAAACAACACACACAGGTACCTTAAATGTTATAACAACACACTGCCCTATTTGTGTACATGTTTTTGGGACAAACAGGACATAGATTTTTTCAGTTTTGGGACAAACAGGATTAAACCCTCTGATGAGACTTTGTGTTAGGTGACCTAATAACAAGTCAATCCGTTCATGTATGTAATCTTACCTTCTACAAGGTATAAGGTCAATTTCTGGGTCATTTTACACCTATGACCTACTGTTCAGTGTTACCTAATGCAGGAATGTATAATAAACTCTCCTCTCCTTACAGTTGTTATCTTATCCTATCTACACATACCTGTACCTCTTTGATGTATAATCAATGTGGACCTAGCAATTACCAACCTGAATAAAGCTATTTGTCCGCCAGTGAGAAGTGAATCTCATTTTTATATATATTTTTAAAAAAATACAAATAGATTAAAGTGACAAATCACAAATGTTACACAAGTTCTTTGGAAAATTACTCAGCTTTTTAATGTCATTTATTTAAAGATGATTTTCTCCATATTTCGGACAGAAAGTGGTTTACAATATGGGGTGGTATTTCAGCTGTAAGGAGCTTCAGTATGCATTTTGTTTTACAGATATCAAAAGTCAACAGAGATTATTTTCACAAAAGTTAACACAATCAATTTGAAAATTCTAACGTTGCTTATTTTGAAAATATCAGTTATGTATTTTTGAAGAAAAAATATTTCGTGTAAACAGCAAGGCTAGTTAACCTAAACTTCTTCGCTAAAGCGTTATAAAGAGATATTGGTAGTTTACCGTTTGTTATTATACGTCTCTGTACGTAATATCTATATCTAATTACTTTAAACAGCCAATTCTACATCTACCAAACACATGAAAGCGCTACATTGTAGCACTACATCACAGTTGTATATTACCAGCAGCATCGGCCACCACAGCCCCGAGGACGGCAGCTGTCCGTCGCCCCTCCACTGAACACATCTCCACACAAATGTCAAATCACGCTAACACAGTTGTCGTTCCTAACTCAATTAGGTCACATAATATATACGTCTCTGGTACCACCAATATAGAAAAAAGTGGCGGGAAATACAAGTTTTTCACTACGAACTTAATGCTTTCTATTTTTACTATTTCCAAAAGAATTAGGACATCCTGAATCAGGGCCGGCGATTCTAAAACCTATCGACGTTTAACTTTATTCAGAATCAAGGCCAGCGATACTAAAACCATATGACATTGCTTTGTTTTAATTCAATGACACACACACTACAAAGCAATAGAGATAATTTCTGTCTCTTAACTGATTTTTTTTAAAATACAAATATTCACATTTATTAATTAGTAAAATGTAAATACTGAAAAATGTGATTATTGACATTAAATGACAGAAAATGTTGATCTAGAGGCCAAAAAGATTATATCTACGTGTCTAGATCGGTTAATGGTTACAGCTACATTTATATCTACATTTCTGTAGTACTGTGATCAGCTGTGTTTTCTTTATCACATCTGTACTCTTATCATATATTACGTGTGTTTGTTTTTTTCTCTCTCTCTTAAAATACTCTTTATCAGTGTAGTAACGCCCGTTACGTACATTTTGTGCTTCGGATTCGTTAAATACAACTAACGTCTTTGTTTCTTGTTTAGATACTTATCCGATGAAGTCCCTGTATCCAGTATTGGAGTGAGCCAAAACGTAAGGTGAATTAAATCCATTCATTTATCGATGACTTACAGAAATTGTAGTACGGTCTTGCTGTTTGTCATGTTTTAGATACATAACCAATGTTGGTGTTTTTTTCTCCGCGTGATCCGTTATTCTTGTGTATTTATTTATTTATTTATTTTTACAAATTATGTGTTGGAGACTAACAGGCCTATAGATCCCTGAAGCTTTCTTATTCGCCTTTTTATGAATCGCTTATTTTCAAACTAACTGTTAAGAATTCCACACGATGCATGGTGTTTGGAGTTATATTATGGTCTGAAATATCTATGTTTAAGACAGTGATCATATCTGCTGTTTCTTTTGGGGTGATTATTGTCAGAACCTGGAAATTTTGAATGATTTAAGGTTAGAACTAACTTAAAAATCAGTACAGTTATCATTGTATAGATGAATTTATATCAATATAATATTTAAGTTTAAGATGCTGTAGTCTGCTCTCTGCTGAGTAATTTATCTATCAAGCCGATTGGTGATTGTCATTGTGATTGTGATATCTCCTACAAAATTATTGATGATTTTTGTGACGTAATTCAATGAAGAAAACACAGGTTATAGCATTCCAGTGTGATGTCACTATCTGCCTTGATCCAGTGTGATAGCACTATCTGCCTTGATCCAGTGTGATGTCACTATCTACCTTGATCCAGTATGATGGCACTATCTACCTTAATCCAGTATGATGGCACTATCTGCCTTGATCCAGTGTGATGTCACTATCTCTCTTGATTCAGTGTGATGGCACTATCTGCAATGATCCAGTGTGATGACACTATCTACCTTGATTCAGTGTGATGGCACTATCTGCCTTGGCCCAGTGTGATGGCACTATCTGCCTTGGCCCAGTATGGTGGCACTATCTGCCTTGATCCAGTGTGATAGCACTATCTGCCTTGATCCAGTGTGATAGCACTATCTACCTTGAGTACACCATCATTTGTGTACACAAGTTCGTAGCTGCTGTCATGGCACAAGACCCAAATAAGCGAAAATTACAGATATAGGCACGTTTCTCTTTAAAGTTTCTAAAATTGTTAAACATTTCTTTTAGCTACATTGTATTTATCGTAAAAGTTTATGTTTATATTTTGTATAACGTCATGTTAACAGCCAGTGTCATTTATGAACACTCCCAGGTGTACGCGAGTTGAGTGTGAATGTTGAGTGCACGTGTTTTAGGGAGGGTACGATATGTTCGTGTAAGCCTCGCTTTTACAGTGCGATACCCCAGACACGGGAGGAGTCACGGAGACGGAAGACCTGTCAATCAATCAATCAATCGACCAATTTAAAAAGTCCTATATATCTCGACCAGGTAGAATGACCCAAAATCTTTCTCAAAGAGACCAAAAGCGAGTCAGGGAGATATTAGAAAGAAGAAAGACATGTAGAAAAATAAATGATATAAAGTTTTTGTCGCCTCTTACCATCTTGCCAATATGGGCTATCGGTGCAATTCTTCGTAGTCATATTGATGTTACGAGTAAGTTACTATCAACGTCAGTGAAGTATTGTAAAGTTATAAACAGCGTAGAGAATTCTTTTGATTTTATTATGAAGAGATATTACCTTTTAAAACATAAGTGAATCTTCCTTATATGGAGGGGAGGATATAGAAACCATCCCATTGACAATCTTCATGCACAGGTCATATTGACGACATAAACACAAAATTATGTAGTTTGTGGAAACGCTGCATGCTATAGACACCGGAATCTGTATTTGGGGAAACACAAAAAAATCTTATTTCTATATCAAAAATACTAAAAGATGAAAATAAAATGAAAACAAAAACAAAAACAAAAAAGCCAAACAAACAATACAGACAAAAGCTATGATATGTAACAATTTTATTCTATATCACGTACACTTGTATTGCAATGAGAACCATATATGTATATGATAAAACTATGAAAAAATGAACCAACATAATTATATTGATATGAGTATATAACTACAGGGCACAGAATAGGTACAGTGAACATGTAGCTTCCTGTGGTAAACAATATCTTTCTATATCAATATATCATCTTGAAATAATTCTTTGAACAAATTTTCTGGTATTTTACAGAGCTACTCTTTTTGGGATTTTTTTACATAAATTTTCCTCTCTCTTTCACAGAAATTTTACTTTCTTGTTTGTAGAAAGTTTCCTGTAATGAAACTCCATGTTTTGTAGTTCCTTGATGACCTTCATGCTCCAGATGTGAACATTGTATGATGTTTCTTGGCTATGTCATTTTATAAATTTTATAAAAATATTCATTTCTTCTTTTTCTTTCCGCCTTTCTTTCCTCCTTTCTTTCCTCCTTTCTTCCCTTTCTTTCCTTTTTTCCCCTTCCCTGATTTCTTTTTTTTAGTAGCACCATCTGGAAGTGCCCATTCTGGTACTTCCGGAACCTCACTGATTTCTTCCACTTCTGGCATTTCACCTTTCTTGGCGTCTCGAATGACATCCCAAGCCTCTGACGAATAACGTGCCAGGTCGATCGGGCTCACACCTGCAACAGTCTTTGCCTCTAAATTGGCTTTAGCCAGCACCAGATGTTTAACAGCATCCGCGTGGTTACCTGTAATAGAGGTTGATAATGATACATCTTTACTAGCAGTCACTTACAGGTAACCCCTTATAGGTAACTACTCACAAGTATCAACTCAGGTAACTACTTACACATAACCACTCACAGGTAACCACTCACACATAACCACTCACAGGTAACCACTTACACATTACTACTCACAGGTAACCACTTACACATAACCACTCACAGGTAACCACTTACACATAACAACTCTCAGGTAAAAACTTACACATAACCACTCACAGGTAAAAACTTACAAATAACCAATCGTAGGTAACCACTTAGAGGTAACCCCTCACAGGTAACTACTCACAGGAAACAACTCAGTTAACCACTCATAGGCAAAAAACAGGTAACCAACCATAGGCACATGTATCTAGTTACGGGCAATTCATCATAGGTAACCTCCTACATGTAAACCATCCACAATACACCAAATATAGGTAACATATAACAGGTAACCATTAACAGGTAAATACTCAGATAACTTGTCACGGGTACATGTAACCCACCGATGATAACCGAAATTAAGTAGTCTGTATGTAGATTTTGTCCGGAATATTGGCGAACAAATATGTACTAAAAGGTTTGTACCGGTATTTCTAACAAACTGGTGGAAAATGTTCTAAGGTGTGACAAGCTAGACCGATACCCCACCGACAAGTCAGTACTCACCCCTGGCAGCCAGATGGAGCGGTGTAACTAAGGATCCCACCACTACGTTGACATTGGCACCAGCCTCTATCAGCAATCTGACGATCTCTGCATGACCACCTAGTAAAGTCGTGAATATGGGTGTTATATGCAAGCACATCAAATGAAAGTCGTTATATATCCATACACAATGTAATCTTGCATGTACGTGTAGGTATTTTAAAAAGTTATCAAATGTTATCTTCGTGTTTTGTTAAATTATTTCAATATTTAGTCAACGGATGGACAAAAAAAAAACATCTCCATAGATATGGTACTATATTCTCCTGCGTGTTTTTAAAACGCATGTTTATAGTTGGTAGACGGAACTGAAAAGCTGAATAGCTCGAAAAGCCCATAGCTATTAACAGATCGACAAATAGACCAAGGCGAGAACCAGACTCCCGAACATCATTTAGTTTCTCCTCGTAAAAAAATTAAATAAAAAATCATCTTACCCTCTGCTGCCTTTGTTATTGCATACATCCCGGTCCCATCCTTTATGTTCGGGTTCACTTTCAGTCTCATCATCTTTTGTACAGTACTGATTTCTCCCCGTTCACAAGCCGTCACTAAGTGCGTCTCCACGTCCCTATCTATAAACAATCGGGAGAGCGATGGAGCTGCCATATTCTAGATTTCAAGTATGGCAGTGGTCACAAACAAGGAAAACCCACAATCAGACACATAATTTGCTACATAGACAGACAAACACAATTCTCCAACCGTCGTTAAGTTTTTGTTTACACCGATACCGCCATGTTGGAATGACACAAAAGAGTTCCACAGGGAGTAGCTATTATTTCAAACTGTAGAGTTGTGCATTTTAAAGGTTGATTGTATGTTTCTCTAGATTTGTTTTTAAGCTGTTTGAATGTTATGCTGTAGAAGACTGTCCAATGATAATAAAAAAAATGTGATTAATTTTGAATGCGTTAAACGTGTTAACTTTCTAGAAAACATATAAAGCGTTACATACACGTACCGGAAACAGTTTTACAAGTGTTGCATGAACTTTGTAATATTATTTTAACGCATCGGTACTGCTATCACATCAAAGGATGTCTCCATCGCTTTGAATATTAGAAAATACTTAATAAGTACTGGCGTATCCTAATAATTTGTACCCACTTTTTAAAGGCAAACGTTTGCAATTGACATCACACTACCAAATAAATAATTAATGTTAAATTCATAATTTTTCAATACAAATCGACAGCATTAAACAAGCATTCATTTATTTTAAATTGATATTGAAGCAATATGTTCTATCATAATCCTAAGAATTGATAATTAAACTTAGATGAATATTCTGATGTACAAGTGACTACAATTAAACAAAGAAAAAAACTTGACTTTGGAATAATTTAGATCTTTATATGGAACACGTCATTCTCAACATTTAAAAATCTTTTTTCGTAAGTTAAATTATGTAAATATTCCCTCTAATTATATGATTGGTAACCGGAAAACTAATCTTTCACTCGCCAAATTAAGATATCGATCAAGCATTCTAAATAATAACTTATTTCATGAGAATTTTATTTATTTTAAACTCTGTCAGTGTGGACATCATACTGAAAATACTTACCATTTCTTCTTTAACAGTAACAGGTACATAAATAAGAGCATAACATGGTATCATGAATTATCACACTAGACCTACAACTTATTTTACGTTGAAGTCCTGAATTATCTGTTGAAGGAAACGAAAGACTTTGTCTCCACACTTAGCAGTATATTTGTGATATAAATAGATTTTGATTTCTATACCTCTCTCTCAACCACTCCTCTCCCCTTTTATCATTTCCTCCTTACCAGCAACGCCCCTTCCTTTCCCAACATATCAAAGATGTCCCTTCAACATAATGGTATATGTAGTCATATATCAGTCAGTAAAATACACATAAATGTTTTAGTTAAATAAAGGACGGAGTCTGTGATCTTTCTCGTCTCAAACGGAACAGAAGGAAATTAATGACTCGAGAGAAAGTAACTAAATGAAAGAATTATGAACAGTGAAAAGTCGAATGAACGGAATAGAGGAATGTTAACTAGTGCCACATGGGTCGAGAAAGATTTCACTTACTCAACCTAAAACATTATTCATCAAATTATTCAAAAGTTTCCGTACTTTTCTTCAAAAGTGAACATGAAGATGGCCATCACTTTCCAACCCCCTCCCCACCCCCATCACTTTCCACCCCCCCCCCCAACCCCCAATTGTCCCAGAAGTGACTTTTTGAAACGTGTAAATCCGTTGAGTTTTTTTATGGGGGGGTGGCTGGTTGCGGGTCCCATTTTTCAGTTTTCTGCATCTGTATTTTTCATATCTATATTCCCGTGATTTTATCGGTTCTACTTGCATTCTGTCGAAACTAACCTCGCCAAAGCTTCACGCCTTCGGCGCTCGCGACACACGGCTTCGCCGGCGTTGCCAGGTTTTGCACACAACCCCCCCCCCCCCCCCCCCCCCCCTCCCCAATTTTAGATCCTGGCTACGCCACTGATTATTAACTGTTGTTTCTTTGTTGCTAACTAACATCTTTAACTACATATATTGGAAGTCAACAGAGCTATACTACTAAAAGTGTCTGATAACATCAGTTATTACAGTATAATTAGTTTTCCAAAGTATGATTTACTTGTAAATGAAATTTTACCGCAGGTGTTTCGTTTTATTTTGCATTTCGAAAAGTGATTTACCCGTTCTAGAATTTCGTTTTATCTCGTATCACGCATCATTTCAAATATCATGTGCCAAGTTCCGTTGCTGCTACAGACTGTTATTTTTTCTGCTCTATTTTCTGCTTTATATCGTTAGTATTTTGTGTTGTGCCGACTTCATGTTTTTGTGATCAGTGAATGTATATTATACATTTTCTGATATAGACACTCACTACATCGTTCAAACACACCGTACAACTGTTTGGATGATTAGGATGAGAACAGTTGTCCAACTGGAAAACAAGTGGGATGCCTGGTTAATTGATATTCCAAACAAACCTGACAATGTGAAGTTGTCAAGATCAAATATATGTTTTAACACAATTAGAATCAATTCTTCTTTCATGGACAGTTTCCTTTGTTTATCCCGTTTCTTTTGCTATTTCTCCTACCATTTTTCATTTTCAAAACTTTCTTCACCTTTCCAAAACAATACTTTGGAATAGAAATTAGTTATTAGATTTTGAAATGTTTACAGAAACAACAATTATGGCAAGAAAATATTAAAAACTTTCATCACTGGTTGCAATCTTATCCACAATCCTTTTCCAATCTGGATTTTTTCCGCATTTTCAGCCTCAATTTCAGGGTTTTTTGCTATCAGCCGAGTATTTCCCTTGTGAGGTCTTTACATTTCTTCCGATATCAATACAGATGTAGACATATAAAGCTTAATTAAAATATAAGATACTGGTGGCAAAGTATAATGGTATTGACTAGGTAATAAGCCCATCAAGTGAAAGAAAGACGGCACAAACTGAAATTTAATCGAACACTGGTGTAATTAGGCTATATAGAGTGAATTACTATTGTTTATAGAAAAAGTTAATTATGATGGGCTTATTGCCAGTCCATTATTGTTGTACCTGGTCTACGCAAAAATAAGTTTGACATATTTCTAATCTTATATTCAAAATCATATTGTCAAGTTGACAATCACCTCATTCACCTTGATTTACAGTCTCATTGACAAGCCTTGTTAACATGGCAAAGCAATTTTTAGCTTTTGTTTTTGTTCCTTTTTTAAGCCAAGAAGTGCCTTATTTACACGTTTGAGATAATGGAATGGGTTTTGAGTTAACATAAATATTAAAACTTAAAAATGAAGAATCACAAATCGAGGAAAAAATATACGAATGACGAAATCATAAAAATGACCAGAGATTTTGGTTGACAACATTTTCGTGGAGTTTAATGGTAAGGTATAAGATGTCCGGGAGGCTGACTTGTTTTTGTTTTGTTTTAATTTACTGAAGAGCATATCAAAACTGGCCCTGCAAAATCGTTTTATTTCACTTGCAGATATATTGATAACGACTTGTGTTTAAATAACAAGAAATTTATTGACCACTCCAATCGCACATACCCGCCAGAATTGGAAATCAAACACACGAGAGACTAGCATACGTCAGCTGCTTATATCGACCTTTTCCTATAAGGAAACCAATATGGACAGCTTTCCATCAAGTTGTCTCATAAGCGTGATGATTCCAATTTCTCTATAGTGAATTTTCCATTTCTGGATAGCAACATTCCTGCATCCACAACCTTTAGTGTCAAATTGTCGCAGTTGATTCGATATTCAAAGGCCAAGTCCAGGTACCACGATTTTCGTGCAAGAAGTCGTCAACTGGCGGTCAAACTCTTAACACAAGGTTTCAAAAGATAGATAGATAAACACTACTCCACGTGACTACGCTCGCATTTTCGAAACGAAGGACAGAAAAAAAAACAGCAGAGTATACGACCCAGCATTTTACAAACACATGCATATAAATAGCACCTCTGTGTATATCACAAGCATACCATTAATCATCATTACCGTTCTATGCTCTTCAAAGTTTTAGTAATATGACGACAGATGAGATAAATTAAATGCAATAGTGATGATGATTAACAAGTGGTTGGCTTTCTACTAAGAACACATATATCATCAACTACTAGTGAAAGTTATTGGATCCGAACAAGTGTATGTTACGAAATATTGAAATACTTCACTTTTGACATCTGATTTCATTCCACGGGCGTGACACAGCAAACGTCCCTGAGTAAATATGATGCCAGTTGTCTAATGATTCAGTGTTCACTTATTGGATGTGGGTGAAGTGATACCGTAATTAGTTTTTTTGTCAAAGTCAGTGAGATGGGAGTGTGTTGATTGTGGGAAAGGAAGTCATCATGTTTCTTATTAAGTACGTCTCTTAGATTGTGCCGAGATAGTTAAATCTTAACGACCCAAACTGTCATCTAACATCGAAAAAAGATTTCTTATATCCCATTAGATATATTATAGTGACGTCACAATGACAACGTCATCTATAAACGGTAGTATGACGTAGTATGACGTTATAAATACCAACGATATGGCTACTGAAATCATCACTGTATGCGGCGCTTAGAGATTAGGAACAACCAAAAAAGACAAATATTATTTGTGACATCATTGCTATGCCTCTCATTCTGTAAATCTGTCTGACTAGTATCCTGTAGACCAGCCGTAACTCATCATGTAATTAGATAAATAGACATCATAGGCGGTAAAAACTTTTATGAATGGTATGTGTATTCAAATCCCCCTGGCGGAAGCGAAGCGCGCAGAGGAAGGTGTGTGTGTGTGTGTGTGTGGGTGTGTGTGTATTCGAAATTCGATATTCTCTACTGATAAGTAGGAACCGGGGTCCTCCCTCAATTTTTTTTAAGCCTGGTGCAAAATGGTGTTTAATTTATACTATGGTTTTCATTCATTCTTGCACAAATTTATTATAGATGAAAGTGGTCTAGGTTTTACAGCTATGTGTTATTATTAGTTTTCATTCATGTTTTGTTTGGTTTCAAATAAAGGACGAGGATAATCTGGGGTTGAATAATTGTTCATCGTTATCATTAAGTACAGAATGGAATTGAAAACTACACGCATTCTTTGTGACCCAACTTCAGCAGTTATGGTACCTTGGCGTATACCCTATACTAGTACGGAACACAGAGCGATCCCCATTTCTACCAAATTTTCAGCCTGATTATTAATTTATTGTACAATGAAGAACAAAAGGAGAATGTCCCATGGGTGTATACCCAATTAACGTATTCCAGTCAATACATGGGGTTTTGTCACTACGTTCATTTTCGTATGGCGTTGGTGGGGAAAAGTGGGGAGGGGCTCGGACCCTCTGCACTCCTTTCTCCTTCTTTATCCGCCTATGGACGTCACAAATGTGTGCATTGCTTCTGAATTTTAAAAGTCTCATGGAGACATTGTCCGTCGCAATAACATCATGATTTTTGTAATATAGAGTGGGTTGGTGCCCCATGAATAAGAAAAATAAAGTGGAATAAATTTTTAGTGATGTTTCCAATAAAATTATCAAAACAAACTCTGACCGATTTGCATTTTCAGTTTTGGGTTTAGATTTTTTAAGAGAGCTCACGGATGAACGGGTTTTCTGTAGGCCGTTCTAGTTTTAAACTGAATAGCTGATGGTAGAATGAGTACAAAATTCCCGGTGAGAAGGTTGAAGGGATTTATGTCTAGAAAACATCATCATTTTGCTGAAGAGAGCAATTGCACATTCTTTGTTATCCTGTTCGAGTTCACACAAACGGTCTCGCAATTCACCAGCCTCTCATCTCATCAAAGGCTACTGGGACCGACTAGGTGTTCCTCAGCGAAGACGACACATTCCAGATGTTGTTTTATTAAATACGTTTATTGCTGATATAATGACTAACTAAACATTCTTTGAATCTAACCTCGTCATCAGTTTCTGTTCTATTCTCTGAAGGCAGTTGCCTTGACCTTGCTACTCGATAGTTACCAGCATCATGATGTTGACGCCATCATGTTGTGATATGGTAGGCAACTTGCTCAGTCATTAACCTCGATCTTCACCTACATAACATCCAATGGACATATTTCTACTCAGCTATATGGCAAGTGTGACATTATAAATTTCCATATTGTGAATTTTCCACTTTTAGTTAGTAACATATATGCTCCCGAAACATGGTGTTATTATGTCGCAGTTGATTCGATATTCAAAGGTTTGGCCTTAAACATGCTGTAGAATTCTCGTTCAAGTAACGCCACAAAAAATTGAATTTTTGTACTAGAGAATGAAAGTAATTAAAGGCGTTCCTTCAGAAGGAATTGAGTATATTGGAAAACCAATTTCTTTCACAGATGATATGTTTTGCCCATGCCGTTTGTGTTCTATAACTCATTGCAGGCTATCAAACTCCTTGGTATGGTTTCTTTGACAATGATTGTACAAAGGATACAAGTGAATAGAACCTTTTTATACAAAATTAGAACTAGCTTCATTAAAACAACAGTTTTTATAACTGCAATCAGTCATAATATTACATCACAACAACAACAAAAGATGCCAGATATTGCATATCAACAAAATGTTGTCAAGGATTTAATTACGAGGGGGAGAGAATTTCTACGGTTTGAGTCGTATACAATAAAAATAAATACATTTTAAAAACGAAGATATATCGTACATTTTATTACTCATTAAATTGGTACATTGGTACATCAGAAAAGAGATTTCACAACTTCATTAGCACATAGCATGTAAAACAAAGTCTAAAATGGTAGCTGATACCCTGAGTTTACAATTTGAAGTAAAGACAAATCGAGAAAACAATTTATGACGAAACTTCTATCACTTTCTCTACGAAATCGTACGATATAATGATATGAACTTAACTCACAGGAAAGCGCATTCCGTCGTTTAAATAATTCCCTAGTCTTTCACATATCTGCCTCACTTCAAATCAGTAATTCTGTCTAATTGATAAATATTGGTAGATAAAGTGTGAGACACAAGACAACAAAGAAACAGGTTGATAATTAGCATGTTAATGCATAAATCATTTGGAGTAGTTACATATAAACAGGGAATAGAACGTATTTGTGTGAATCCAGCCTTACATCGTTCTAAGGAGGAATAACAGGGAGGAGGCATAACACTGTAAAATGATTGGTAGCGTCTCCCTGTCGCAGTAATGCTTTTCAGTTCCAAGGTTGTACAAACAGCACGAGGCCCACTTCAGTACAAAAAAACCATAAAAAATAGAGCCAAATATCAGACTAAATGCATCATACAGCGGTTTCGTTCTTTGATGGCTCTTCGCTGACGTTATGGGTCTAAACTATGGAAGATAAGTACATGATTAATTACTATAGACAGGAACTTCAGATACCAGTTGACGCGATCAACAAGAAAAACGCCCAAAACTACATTACATATATGTACTTATAAAGATATACTATTGTGGGCGTTCAGGTGTCCCGTACATAGGGCTGACAAAGACGGGCGTTCGGTACATCCAGGATCTTTTATATAAGACCCATAAAGATAAGTATATGGGCGTACATTGTACATAGTGGTGAAAAAGTCCTGTTTTATTATGATTAGAACAATTCACTTGGAGGCCACTGATTCCCGAAATAAGAGAGACTTGTGGCTTTTATTGCACGTTTTATGAATGAATATTACATATTATCTAACTCATCCTGATACACTTGTTTTACGTCTCCGTCCCATTTTGGGCTTTTTCTTTCGGTTTGTGTGCCGCTTTTTGTGTCTGTGACGTCGACGCCTTTTCCGTCCCTTACGACTTTTCTTGAACGCAGTTCTGCGATAAACGCGAGTAGTTCTAGGCCTTTCTCCGATTTCTGAAAATGAAAATAATATCTTAAATAACGGAAATAACGCGTATCATGTTGCTTCGGTAAAAGACCAATGCACTTCGTCAGTTGAACTTTAATGAATTAACACTGATATTTCCTCTGTATCTGATTATGGTAGGTTTTTTTATATTAGAATTCATATACACTGATAATTACAAATGATAAAAAGTTAGGCTCTTAGCCGTATCGTGCTCCTCCTTTTTGTGTATTGGTGTTTGTGTATATTACAGACGTACAAACTACACAAAATACTTTAATTCACAAGAAAGATTTTCAATACAACTTACTCTCAAATTGTAAGAGAAATCCTTTGCCCGTTTTTGACCTAATTGAGACTGTGAGAGAGATCTCTGCTCTTCCGCCAGATAAGACAGTGTCAAAGTGTTTCATGTTTCCATCAACAATCAATCTCTTCTTTTTGTCGAGGATATGTATGATCTTAAATGAATCACGACGTTCATCAATCTGGACAGCTTCGAGTTTCAGCAAGAGTTGTCTCCCCTGTCCTATCTGCAAATACGATACAAGTCGCAAGTTTATAGTCCGTGTAGCACATATGGAAACTGCTGTCATACTTGAAAATTCCTTTCCGAAAATAAAATAAATTAAAAACATTTTCTTTTAAAGATTTAATACCATTATCACTTATTTCAATTCTTTCTCATTTTTCACACAATTTTAGGTCACCTGTTACGAGTAAACGCGAACACACCACTGGTAAGGTTTAATGTTCAGCTTGATGAACCAATTTTACATATTGGACAAATTAGATATTGAAAGGTTGGTAAATTTCTCTCGTAATTTTATTAATTGGAAGTGAAATATGATTTTAAAGCTCTGAAATATTATTCGACACCCTCACACGGTGTAATGTGAATGCTCTCACTTTCTATGTTTCATTGTCCTCAGAAAATCATCAAAGCTAATGTAGCCATACAGTGACGTCACATCCCTTAATGGATTTCCAGCAATCACCTGTCCCTTATGAGAAGTCGCTTACCTTGATGACCTTTCTGCAATCCACTGTGTCCGCTCCATAGTCCCATGGATATATGTTGTGACTTCGAATGACGCCGTAAGACTTTTTAACTATCTCTGAATCATATCTGCTACACATGTTGATAACATTATCTAAAGTGAGATAAGAAAAAAAAAAGAAATATTGAATATATATATATTAAATATTGAAACTTCTTTATCCCATCACAAAACCAACATGTTTTCCCCCTTTTTTCTTTAATTTTTAGGAATTTACGTAAAATCTAACTAGATAACAAAATAAAACTACCAAATTGTATACATGTACTTTTAATTTTATGTCTACATGAATTTTTTTTTGTTATGATAGATGTCTGTTTTTCAGTGCTGTTTATTACCTCGTCTGATGCATTTGTATCCTTTGGTGGATATGACGGCAGCCATCTTGCCCTGACAGGAAGGGGAGTTCGATAGTGTCACCATGGCTGGTCCCTTCCAGTTTAAGTTACAATCTTGCTCCCAGTAACAATTATTCATTTGCATTAGAAGTCTTGGAGTGATACCCGCACAAGTTAACCTCTTTCCCACGCCCGCCATCACTTGTGGAGAGTAGAGCAGTGATCCTTTTGGACATGCGAACGACATCTGATTTCCTCTCCACCTCATCGTGCTTCTAATGGATGCTTCAAAAATACACAAGGCAAACATTTTGATAATCGTGGGGTGTTAGTTATTTGTATAGAAAAACATAGACTACTGAAGATAAGGTAACTATTATCCTCTGGGTTTGTGGAGATAAATGTACAGAAAAAGTCAGCAATTATGAGGCCAAGAAAAAAGACGTAAGCACGTCAGCCCTCTATGACATGAAATAGTTTTTTTCCTGAATTTTAGTTCGGTTTAAGAAGTTTTGACAGCTCATAACCTCACCCCTTTTGTACACCACCATCACCATCATTTTTTTCAATTCTTATTTTTCTATTGAGACGTTTTAAATTGAACTAATTCACAGAATTACAACATGACATTGTGTTTTCGACGTCCATTTGTTTCGACAATGATGGTTTCATATCCATATGTAATAATAATGTATATTGTTCCATCATGCAATTCTCTTGTTAAGCATACTTTTGTATAGCGTAGATAAAAAGATAGTTTGGACAATTCCTACTAGATATGAGGATGAGTGTGTCATACATGTTACATTATACCAAAGGACAGACCAATCATGGTTCATCTTTAAAACACGATCAAAGATTCAATTATTGTACATGTATAAACCGCACTAGCACTTCCTTGTATGGGCTAGTCACGACCTCCTGACAGACTGAAAGCGGATTTTGCTGTAAAACGTCATTCTAGTGTTAAAAGATTAGATATGCATTGTGACAGGAAGTCAACCTGGGCACATGGACTGACACGAAATCCCAACCCACGGTCTATATATATTATAGTGACAAAGGATGGAATTCCCTTATCGCTATAAAACTGGAGCGTTATACTAGAATCCGTGCCGAATCCCTTTGAACCAATATGTTACAATTGACGTCTTGCCAAAAAATAGTTAATGTTTAGGTATGAATTCTCGATAACACACACGACATTCAAATTCTTGGCTTAATTTAACATCCAGGAACTTGTGACGATATTGACTTTCAAACTACCTACTATAATGTTTAAAACACCATAGCACTTCCTTGTACCATTTTATTGGCCTAATGTTAAATATTTTGTAAATAATTTTTCTCATGAACATCGATATAAGTTTGATATACTAGTAATAAATTATTTTGATTGGTACAATCTTGACATCTAGGAAGAGATGTGCGTCATTTTGATTGGCTGACCTACGTTGTGTGGTATCAAGGAAGTAAAATTATTATATTTGAAGTGGCCGAACAAGAATATATCAGGTATCTGTATATCCGACGTATTGGCGGTAAGAGCACTAAATATTTCTGTTACAGTCGAAATGGTAAATTTCTTCAAACCACTATGATAACATCGTTTAAGCATTAATTTACATATTAACAAACAAATAACCTATGTTTATGCTAAGCCAACGGTTAGTTACCTGACGGTAGTTCTGGGATCGGAATCTGCTCCGTCGTCTCACTCTCGTTATATTGCATCACTGTTGAAATAAAGATATTACGCTTAATGATTTAATACAGATATAAACAGAAGAGATTGGAGGATCACAAGGCAGGATAAATATTTATACATAAAGATAAGTATGACTTGGTTGCATCACGAAATGTGAGCAAAATATATAGAACTTATTTACGTTTCCGATTTGTATTCTGTACTTGGACTTGCCAACAAAATTGCTGTTTACACTTTGGCGAGTGAACGTCAAGTCTGACAACCTTTCCCACCTAAATGAAATCAGCTATTTTTCTTTTCCACTAGTTGTCGGGCTGTTCCATCAGTTGTCGGGCTGTTCCGTCAGTGCGAATAACGTCCAATAAATGAAGTTTATTGTGATTTTTTTTTCATAAGTGTGAATAAAACAAATGTTGTTCACCCTTGGGTAATCTGCATTTTCTTACAGACATTTCAATATAACGCGCGTCATTTGAATTATCTGTGGAAAAAAAGCAGTTTTAACATCATTAAGCAATAAAAAAGAAACATTATTTCTTAATTATCCTACTGACGGAACAGCTAATTCAATTTTCGTGTGAAAAGTTAGTCAAACTACAGGAAGTAAACAGAAAAGAGTTCCACAATAACATCATTTTCATTTTTGTGAGAAATTGCTGTGAATTTTTTAGTTTATTCAAAATAAATTCACAAAATTCAAAACAGAACAAACGCAATAGTGAATTCGTACTGATTTTTTATCGCAAGTGTGTTGCGGTTCCACCAAGTAGACTTTACCGAATTGTAAACATTTCTTTCTTTTTTAAAGCCAATTAATGGATACTCACCGGAAGTGTAAATATATATGAATATAAATTGATATCAATCAGCAAAAATATATTGTATAATACTTGATGTAAAGTATGTTGAGAGACGTATCTCATCAATTCATATTCACCTCCATTTTTACTTTTAAAGGACATTCCCTCGTTCAACGACAGAATTAAACTGCGCTATTATTTTTTTTCAAAACACATATACAAATGAGGATATTCTAATACGTATGTCTGACAGTGATAAAATAAAGCATTATGTTTTAATTGCAATACGTACCATTATAGATGAGATAAAAGTTTGACTTCGTTGCAAATTGGTCCTGAGTTTCCAATCCGAGAGTAAAATGGTTTCCCTTTCCAGTGACTGTTTCGTGATTATTTCTCAGTGTCTTGGTCTCGTTCATTCCGTACTGAGATGTCCATTTTATAATCACGTGATAACTAGTATATGTGTCAATTTTTTCTAGTTTCATTGTCATCTTTACATTGGAAGGAAATGAAAATGTTTTATAACAAACGGTCCCAGACGTGTCGCTGTTTGGAATGTCTATAGGTCTCCCGATAATACCGGTCGTGTTCATTCTCATTGTCCACTCCGAACATATATCAAATATATTACCTGAAAAAAAGGAGTCAATATTAGATAGACCGGAATCGGAATAAGAGACGTATTATCATTCATTGCATATGATTATTACATAAACATTTTAATGGCAAGAATTTGCAAACGCGTTGTCAATTTGCTGTATGATATTTGAATTATAATCGTGTATGCCACTGATGTCGTGTTGTGTTACTACCGATTCATCCAGACTCAAATTTAGAAGTGTAAACCCGTGATATTTCGCATGTATCGCAAGATTTACGTAAATGAAAGATAGGGATTAACTTTGCAAAATCTTTCAAATACCATTGGAAAGAAGGAATACCATAAATGTCTACCTTTTGAGATCCATAAGTCCCTACCTTCAGAGATCCAAAAGGTTCCTACCTTCAGAGAGCCAAAAAGTCCTTACTTTCAGAGATCCATAAAGTCCCTACCTTCAGAGATCCAAAAAGTCCCTACCTTCAGTGATCCATAAGTCCCTACCTTCAGAGACCCAAAATGTCCCTACCTTCAAAGATCCAAAAAGTCCCTACCTTCAGAGACCTAAAAAGTCCCTAACTTCAGAGATCCAAAAAGTCCCTACCTTCAGAGATCCAAAAAGTCCCTACCTTCAGAGACCTAAAAAGTCCCTACCTTCAGAGATCCAAAAGGTTCCTACCTTCAGAGATCCATAAGTCCCTACCTTCAGAGATCCATAAGTCCCTACCTTCAGAGACCCAAAAAGTCCCTACCTTCAAAGATCCATAAGTCCCTACCTTCAGAAACCCAAAAAGTCCCTACCTTCAGAGATCCAAAAAGTTCCTACCTTTTGAGATCCATTAATTCCTACCTTCGTAGATCCAAAAAGTTCCTACCTTCATAGATCCAAAAAGTTCCTGCCTTCAGATACCCATATGTTCCTAAATTTTGAGACCCATATGTTCCTACCTTTTGAGATCCATTAATTCCTACCTTTTGAGATCCATTAATTCCTACCTTTTGAGATCCATTAATTCCTACCTTCAGAGATCCATAAGGTGTACAGTACTGACACTCGTTTTCCCTGACATTTGAATATCATGTCTAGGCATTGAAAGATTTTGCAAAAGGCACACGAGTTACCAACACCTTGATTTAGAGTTAGATATAGTAGAGTCAAACAAGGAATTTAACTGTATCACGTAGCTGTTTCGTCCTTCTAGGACTCGTCAGTGATTCTGAGGGCCTAAATGTTGAAGCCTAGGAGGTGACTGAGAAAAATCAAAAGAGCTCTAAAGAAAGGTCAAAATCTAGACTGGGAGGTGCACAGCCCCATAAATAAATACATTTCGGAATTTTCATATATCAGATAATTTCTAAACAGCGTCTAGTACATGTATATATTCTGAACCGTGTCACTTTTCAAATTAATTAAGACATGGCATGCAGGTTAAGGCAGACCTCGGGGACTTGAAGCCAATCGGCAGACTGTAGAAAACACACAAAAATGAATTAGCACCTTTTGATAATTGAAATTCAGATACAGTAGAGCTTAACAATGAATCCAACTATTCACGCGAATTTAATTGGAAGTAAGGCTTTATGCGATTACAAACAAGATACCGTTTGATCTTTAGATAAGATGAAGTATTTACCTCTTGGAACACATTTTGATAAGGAAATGGTGATAAACTTTGGAAACATTTTGAGGCATTTTTTGTTTGGTCCACTAAGAATCTCATCCATTCTCAGTCCCTTCCTTAAAGAAACACTGCACGTGTTGTTCATCACGCATTGTTCAGATTGCTTGGCTAATTGACTGTTACTGCCTAAACAGTCCCTCTCGAGACGTAAAACAGACGACCGTCTTCCAATAGATGCTCCATACGCTATGTAGGGTGTCAGCATCACGTGATCTTCAGGACAGACTATGTCCAACCGTTCTTGACCGTTGGATAGTCTCCGGGTTACAAACGGACGTGAAGACATCAAATCATCTAAAAAAAGCAAAAGAAACGAATCCTGGTTTATACAAATATATGAATTTCACCAATGTACCAATTTGATAAAAGTATCTATCATTTGTTCATGATGGCTAGCAGGATTAAGAACATGTTCTTAGCACGCAGTGGAAGTCTCTTTGCACTTTATTTGCCTAATTTCCATCACTAGTACAACTTCTTTAAATAAAACCTCAAAGAAAGATGAAAATAAAGTTAATTTCATGGCAGCATGGTTTTTACACGCACCAGTGAAATATGTGGTGGAGAATGCCGATAGCCTACTTACGTAATAGAAAGTTATCTGATTAATTTCAAGTGGAGGTTAGGGCTTGTAATAACCTTTGAATTTCATTTAAACATTAAACATAATACAAAGAATACTTACAAAGGTAAACCCAGGGATTAAAATGTACTGATATGTAATGCCTTAAGTGTAATACTTGTGTATACGTCACTAAGTAACCAGACCATGTATCGCATTGTGATAGAAAATCAATTGTGGCATCGAATAACTATTCATTTACATAGAGTCGGTATTTTATGAACATTATAAACAGTAAGCAATCGTAGTCAAGTGTTGATTAGTGGGTCGTGGCATGCATTGTGCAATTGTTTACATATGTTTATCGTGACCGTATTGTACAATTGTTTGTTCGTGTTTATCGTGACATGTATAGTGCAATTGTTTACTCATATTTACATTTCAGATTTAAAAACATTCACCAAATGTATTTGTGGAAATTCCTGTTCCTTTATATGTCAAAGTTTCAACATGAACTATATTACGTCTTCAAAATAATATTACACATTGTAAAATATTTGAAATATTTTTCAACCAAATAGCATGCTGCGGCTGTATCGGAATCAGCTATAAAACGTGTGTATATGATTGATACGATGGCCCATATACGCCACATCAAAATACACTAAAGCAAAAGACACCGTGGCAGCTAAAACTAACTTCTCACTGTGAGTTAAAAAACGTATATAATGTACTTACGTGTATTCCAAGTTTCCCCATAAGCTATAAATATTAAGTTAGAGAGTATGAAACACCCAAGCCTGGTAGTCGACACGGCCATGTGGAAGTCATTCTGATATGTTGGGGAAACCCCCCCTATATATATACGCCTACAAACAAACACGTGAGTAGGTGTATTTAATCGTATCGTTTGGTGATTGATCATCAAATCGTGTCAGAATAAATTTGAATAATTATACATGTATGTATTTGTTTATAGTTAGAAATTCGTTAGCAACCAAACGTGTACACATCTGGACATATATTGTGGTTACAACTATGTTCTCTGGGTTTTTCATCAGAAATATATTTTATTAACTAGAAAATTGAAAGTCTAAAAATCTACTCCTTGTTATTACTGTCCTTGGCGGTCAATAAATAGTTCTGTGACAGTGACACGTATTTCCTCCTCCGGTACGAAAACGGACAGTATGTCGGAGGTACCCCATTTGCCTATACAGATTTGAGAGCGGGGAAAGCGGAAGGATGTTCGAGGCAGATACACAACGGCAAAATGAAGAAATACGTCCAGAAAAGAACTTGTAAGTGATTTTAACATTTCAGATGCAGTGAGCGCTAATCAGCTCAGTGAAAGCTCAACCCGAAGCCCGATGTTCTCCAGTCTGAAAGGTTGACCTATAACAAGGTATATGTTGAAAAACTAGATAAAGCTTAACTACATCTCCCCCGAGAACA